CCAATGGACCCCCCCCCCTACAAACCAGATATTCTCTCTAGCGTTTCACGTACCTGTATGGCCGGCAGATAGGGTGGCAACATATCCTCGGGCTTCATCTCGACGTCAGAAAGTTCCGGAGACTCAGGCATGTAATCGTCTGATTGGCTGCGGTCAGAGCGACCTCCAATGCTTTCCACGTCTGAGTGATCGTCAAATTTGGATCGCACTTTGCCTGAACAGAAAGAGAAACAAATACAATTTTTATCAGTCATAAATCACACTCTACGGAACATAACAGCAACTGCAGCAAACTGCACTCATCACTACATAGCGTTGGATAGAAGGACGAGAGCCCAGCTGTTGCTGGATTGATAACAACAACAAGAGTTATAAATGGTTTACAATTGAGTTTGTATTGTGTGTGACAGGATTTTGTTTTTTATATCAACTGCTCAGTGTCAAACTGTCATACGTCACTTTTTTAAATGGTACATAGTGGAGTCTTACACTGAACAATCACCATATCCTGCAGCACTTTACTCACTTCACAACCACCATATTATCCTGCAGCACTTTACTACTACTCACTTCACCACCACCATATTATCCTGCAGCGCTTTACTACTCACTTCCACCACCATCATATTATCCTGCAGCGTTTTACTACTCACTTCCACCACCATCATATTATCCTGCAGCGTTTTACTACTCACTTCCACCACCATCATATTATCCTGCAGCGCTTTACTACTCACTTCCACCACCATCATATTATCCTGCAGCCCTTTACTACTCACTTCCACAACCACTTCCTCAGATCACAGACATGCTGGCACTTCCTAAGAGCACAGACATGCTGGCACTTTGCCAACCACAGGAGAGAAAACTAGAGCAGCTTCTTGAGTGAAACATATTCCAAATGAAGGGGTGCGTGTGAGCGTATGCGTGTGCGAGAGTGTGTGCGTGGGCGAGAGGGTACGCGTGTTTGGGAGAGAGTGTATGCATTTGTGTGTGTATGTGTTTGAGTGTGCGTATGCATGTGCATGTGAGGGCGTGCCTGTGTGTGTTTGTGTGCATGTGAGTGTATGAGTGTGTACGTGTGCGTGTGACTTTAATTTTCCCTCTTCTCAACATACCTGAAGACGTCTCCTCCATCTTGGCATCCTCTTTAAAGACATCTGCCAGATTTTTCCCAGGGCTGTCTTCTCTGTCTTCAGCTTCTTCCTCCTCTTCTTCCTCGCTGCTCTCTTCCTCCTCTCCACTGCTGCTGTCTGTTCACAGGTAAAAATAAAGGTGGGAAGAGTTCAAAAGCCTGAAATTGGAGGCTGTCTTCTTCTTTCAGACCTATCTACCATTCGACTATTTGTAGCAGAATTAAGACTCTCAGAACTAAATTGAAAAACTACTACTCAGAAGTTGTCTGAAAATCGTATCACATACTGCATGGTAGAATTACTAAACAAAAGAAATGACATTACTCTTAAACTATTTTTTTTATCTTTAAAACCCAGAAAAACAAAAGGCTGTATCAGAAGTTCATAAATATTGTGCAAGCTTTGACTTCAGTAATGTGAACCGCATTGTCGCCAATAAACTAAACAGCACGACATCCGTTCATTGAATCTTGAAGGCCAAATGGCACCATGCAAACAAACTTTTAATTGGACTGAGAGCTCCATACTCGGAATCTAATGGTGAAATCACTCTGATACTTTGCAATCTAAGTCCCAGGAATAAAATAATTCCATCCTTAAAAACAAAACATCAGAAACGTAAGATTATACCACCCTGTCTACAAAGCTAGATAAGTTCCAAAAAGGTATTCTAATAAAGTATGAAAGTGTGAGATCTATAACAGCTCTTTTTCTGGCTTTTTAGTTTTTAAAAAATAAAAAAATATATACACACACATGATGGTGTGAAGCAATACATTCCACAATCAGACATCAGCACAAAATATATTTTTGAACCCCATGCCTGACCAACTTCACTGGTATAACAGTGAACACCCTAGGAGCTATTCAGCAGAGCAAAATTTCTTTCTTTGAATGTTTCCAGAAAAGATTCCGCCTACCTGAATCCGAATCATCTGAATCCGAGTCTGAGTCATCACTCTCCTCCTCCTCCCCATCATCCTCATCGTCAGCCTCAGCCTCCTGGACATCTCCTTTCCCAGACGAGCTGACCTCTGACCCTCTCTTGCGCTCAGGCATTTCTTCAAAGGATTTGTCAGAGACGCCATCATCTGCAGAGGAAGTGGAAAGCATACCGTACAAATTCATCTTCCAAGTTAAAAAAGCAGATGAGGAGATCAGAAGAGATGCAAAGAGAAGCGGGTAAGGTGATAGGAAACAAAGATGATGAGAAAAAAAATAGATATAAAAAAAGACAAGATGAGGAGGGAAATAAAGGAGTAAAGATGAGATGAAAGATGAAATGAGATGAAGTAGAAGCAAATCGAAGAAATGATAGGAATTTTTAATACAAAATACGATGTCACCCATTGTTGAGGAAAAAGCAGTCATCTTAGACAAGAGGACGACTTGGACAATCATTATAAAAAAGGAGAAAAAAAACATTGGGAAGGGGGATGGGGGAATATTTCTACAGATATTTGTCTTGGACAGGTGAATTTTAAGTTAAAGTAAACAGAAGCATACAAATCTGAAATCAGCCACTTAGTGCAGGGAACCGCCGAGATAGATAGACAGAAACAACAAAGGGGAAACACAACGAAGTCAGACCAAGAAACCCTCCAACTATCCATTAACTTTCCCAATGAGAAAATGTGGATCATAACGTAATCTTCATATTCAACTAACATCTTCAATCTCCACTTCCCACAAACCTACATTAGCCTGCTGCACCTTAAATCTATCTTTGATGTGTGGGTTTCAAATCTGCATTTATCAACCTGCAAAACTCATTCAGCCTTTTACCATTCCCTCTAAAACAGATGAATTTTTTTTTTATTGTTTAAATTTTTTAAAATGTGCATGAGTAAGGGAATGAGAGAGACAGAGGGAGGGAAAGTAAGGGAAAGAGAGAGACAGAGGGAGGGAAAGAGATCGATGTATGGCAGGAGATTCGAACCTTTATCCTCCACAACCACCATCCTGGTATCCTGATCAGAGCCAGGCCGGAGTCTTTCCTCTTCTGACCTTGGGGACTGGGACGGCGATCGAGACAGCCTCCTTTTGGACTCTTTCTTAAACACTGAAACAAAAAGAGATGAGACGTGAGTACACCAGTTTGCTTTTACTTAGAGTTTTTGGGGTATTGTACTGGTAAGTGTTTTGCAGCGCTCGCAACTGCATAAGGTCATATGAGCGCATAGGACACATTAAGCATTTTCAGTTTGGTAGGAATTAGTTTCGAATTTTGCTTGGGTGGTGGCCGAAGCCTACTCTTATCGATCGATTTTTAAGGACCACCAAGGGATCTTTAACATGCACAACTTCCACACGAGACCTCCATGATTTTTCCACCCTTATGTCAACTTCTAAAATTTCCTACAAAAGTAGTATAAAAATTTGTTTATTAATTAATGTCTACAAAAAATTGCAGAGACAGTCAGTATTGGCTGCGCCTGAGGAGTCAAGGCAGAGTTTGGGGTGGCGCTAACACCCATGCAACACTTGTCTTACATTTTTACACTCGCACCAGAAACAAGCTCATACACCCACTGACCTTTGTCCTCCTGAAGCCTGGGTGGGGGAGGGAAATGTCGACCTTGCCCCTGCTCTCGAGACATGTCACGACTTCTGCTTCGGTGGTCCCCCTGCATTTTATCTTCCTTCCTCATCTTCTCACGTCTGCTGTCTACATTTGACCCAAAAAACAAAAAAACAAAAAAAAAAGAAAAGAAAAAGTGTGAACAAAATACATCTTTTTGTTTTGAGAAAATTGAAGAAAACATAGCTTTCTTAATCCAACCCCATGACTTGGGTAAATGAGAAAATCTCAATAATTGGATTTCAAGTACACTATTATAAACTCTGCAATACTGAGGATATGAAAAAAGTAGTAGGAATTTTTACACTATTAGTACTAGCACACCTGAAAAAAAAAATAGGGAGATGGTTCTCGTATATATTATGTCCAACTTTAGAAATATACTGGTTATCGGCCACTGCATCGCCAGTTGAAAAAAGATAACACTTTGATGATATCCACAAAGAGAAATTTGCAGCAGTATGGCATATAAATTTACACACATGCACTCGTCAACACTCTCAATCTTTCTCACTCTCTCAGACACACATATACAATCACATACATGAATAGTCATGGGATAGCCTTATATCTTTTGAATATAAAAGTTGAGACGATTTTATAGTGGAAATAGTGGAAACAATTCTTGAATTGGCAGGTAGTCTTAACTTTCAATGAAAAGCAAGCTCCATCTAGTGGCTGGGAGTCTTTAATTAACATTCCAACTATTGTTCCAGTTTCCAATACACCAAAAAGGTTATAATCTCTGCAAAGCACCCACATGTGCAGTTTTGTCCACAGAGTGTTTCAGCTTTGATTAGTTTTTCTTGTTAAGAACTCACAGTACCGTCCCGTGCCTAGTTTAGTCTTTTTGGGAGTTACGGCCGATAACATTAACCCAGGACGGCACTCTCTGGTCGGCGTAGTATAAAATGTTGCATGAGGAGTCATGGGATGGACATACAAAATCTGTTGGATTATGACAGTTTGGAAGTTAAAAAAACTCACCAGGATAATGTCCTCTCTCTTCTTTTCTCTTCATTGGTCTTGGTTGTGGCTGCTTTTCTATGACTTTCTCCTCCCTCATTTGTCTGTCCCTCCTTCTTTCCAGTTCCATCCGTTCCAGTCTTTCCCTGTGTAAAAGTACTTCTGTACTATTATGACAATGAAAACAAAACAAAACTCAGCAACATTTTATCAGTGGGAGAAGGCGACTTTCTATACAACAATTCTTTATAATTTTTTTTAAAAACATTACCGACAAGCTTTAATTACTTTAAATATGATAAGTCATCAGAACAAACAAACAAGACAGGAACAATAAGTCATTATATCACCACAAAGAGCTACATATTAGGACAAATATATAGTAGAGGGTTTTACGGCGCTCGCAACTGCATAAGGTCATATGAGCGCCAAGGGGTTGGTGTCAACAGAGAAGTCTTTACAGGGAATCAGACTTACGTTGCTCACCTCTCTAGCTTCAACAGCACAAGGTCTGCTTCGACTATCAAGGCACCCCGGAAATAGCAGGTCACAAGAGTGTGACAAACATACAAAAGAAGTAGAGGAAAAATTACAATAGTAAGGATAAGGAAAGAAAAAGCAGCAGTTCCCTGTTGTAGATCAGTCACAGTTATGAGCGTGACATAAATCAGCCCATTTACAATTTTACTGTGCTTGAACGAGAAATGTCCCCCCTTTGGAAATGGCCTAAAGTCACTTCAGTCAGGATAAAAGAAACACTGCACACACACACACAAAAACTAGATAGAGGAGACCACAGCACATCAAAGAACCCACCTTTAATGTTCAGAACAACCATTCATCAGTCAGTATTTCGTTTTGGTAGTTTGTATTTATTGTTTTAGTAAGTATTTTACGGCACTTGCAACACAATAAGGTATATAAGTACTGAAGATTAGAGGTGTTACAAGAGAGTAACAAACACAAAATAGAAGATGGGGAGATAAGGACGACAGATGTCTGATAAAAAAGAAGGAGCACACCACACCAGAGCACTCACAAACCACCCACTTTTGGTAGTTTATCATATCGATATACATGCAAAAATTGTCAAAGATAGCAGCACAATGTGTAGAAGAAGTGTGGTCATCTCAGACAGGGGGGTATTCTTGGACATCGTAATTATAATAATAAATAAAACATGTCAGGGGGAGTAGAAGGAGGTGGTAAACTTTACAGGTGATTGTCTTGGACAAGTGGCCGTTAGAGCAGGTCTGACTGTACTTACATGCTGGTCATAGGAATATCCCATGGAAAGAAAGTAGCAGAAGACAGCTCAAAAGACTGAGTAGTGCATATTAATCAAGTCTATCTTATTCCAGTACTTTTCCCTAATATTTCTCTCTTCAAAAAACAGAACTGACAACCTCACCTTTCTTTAATAGATTCTTCTCTCTTTCTCGCCTCCCTCTCTTTCATCTCCCTGGCAATCTCCTTCTCTTTTAGGGCTCTCTCCTTCTTCCTCTCCCGCACAATTTCCCGTGCATCTCTCTGTGGAGGGTTCGGTTCCTTGGACTTCCAACCTCTTTGTTGAAAGGCTGCTGCTTCTGAAAAAGCAAATAAAAATAAACAGTGAATATGACAAAAAATAGACGCAACTTATTAAGTCAAGTTAAAAAAATATTGCTTCTTTTTTTAGTTTTAGTGAGCATTTTATGAAATTTGCAAAACAATAATGTCGCGTAAGTGTTGAAAATTTGAGGTGTTACAAGAGCATGGCAATTACAAAAAATAAGGTGAGAGAGGGACAATAGATGTTTGATAAGAAAGAAGGAGCAAACCACACCAGAGCACTCACCAATCACCCGCAAATAAGATAAGATACATTTTTATTGTTCAGTTCCTGGCACATTGGTTTGGTGTTCACCACATATACACACACACACACACATACACAGACACACAAACACACACACGCAAACTTACTTTCTTGTCTGACCCTCTCCTTGGGTATGCTGTGGTCCCGACTCCTGTGTTTCTCCTTTTTGTGCTTGTGGCTGCGCTCTTTCTGCCTCATGGGGTGCGCCTGAGGAGGTTTGATGGTCAGGCTTCCCCCCTCCTCCTCCCCATGGTCACCTGCTTCTCTGAAAAGTCGGAAGACAAAATAAAAGTTTCAAATAAAAAGAAGATTTTTTGGTCCATTTGCTATCACAAGGTGAGTCAGAAGCTCACTCCTGAATCATATTTTATCAGGATGCAAGGAACAAAAAAGTCCAAATAAAAACTCTGAAAAGTAGGAGCAGACCACATCATTTGCTTATTTGGGGTACGTAGGTAACCTACGCAGTTTTTGTGGACATCTAAATAGACATAAAAGCCTTGAGCATCTAGTTCTCATAGGCAAAATTGAAGGCAAACGGGGCAAAGGAAGGGCCAGAGCAACATACTTGGAGAACCTAAATGGATGGGTGACAGGGAAGGATCAGGGTAATGTAGCTTTTTTGAGAGCATCCAAGCTAAGGAATGAACGGAGAACCATGATCGCCGATGTCTGTCGCAGAATAATGGCACTTGATGATGATGACGATGTAACCCATATAATGGAGCTGCTTATTTGGACAGCACGGAATAAATAAGGTCACCAAAAATAGAAAAAAAAGAATCAACAGCAAAGTCAAGTTATGCAAATTATTGATAATTCAGCCAAATATCATAAGCACACCTTAGAGCAAAAAAACCCTGGCTAGCAAATCTAAATGAATGATTAAGTAGACTTCAATGATTACTTTTACTAAATATAAAGATCGATTAACAAAGAACAAACTTTCTGACATCAACAAATATTCACACTCCAGACAAATACAACATAGGAATTGAACAACAGAAAACACAACATGAAATGATCTATTATAAAAGCCTGCTTTCTGAGCATTCAAATGGTGACGTGGAAAAAACCCAATATAAAATTACATTTCGTCGCTGCTTACAAAAAACGTAAATGTTTCTCCTCACCATATAAAAGCAAGTTCAAACAAAGCAACTTAATTTTCTTGGGTGAACACATTTCCATCTGAAAGACGCTATTACTGAGCCTTGCATTCAAAAGTCCCAGACCTAGTTTTTGTGCTCTTTTTAAAAAATCACAATTTACAACAAAAAGAATTTTTTTAAGTTGCAGATGTGAAACTGACACTGACATAGAGAGGGTTTGAAAACTACACACGCACTCACATGATTTGTACATCGTCGTCATCATCATTTCTTACATGGACCTTTGCCTCAGGAGGAAGCTTGTGGGATTTTTTGCTCTTTTTGCTGGACTTTTTCTTCTTCACCACCTCAGGGCTGGGCTTCAGCTCCCCTTGCTCATAAGGGCTCCGCTTTGCCCTGGAATCTGACATGGCCAGGCTTAAGGACAGCCTACTGAAAGATAAAAAAAGGAAAATAAAATTGAAAGACACAATAGTATACATACAATATACAGTCAAACCTGCCTTAACGGAAACCTGTCTTTAACGGAATATCCCCGCTCCCCCCCTTGATATATTGCTCTTTTATTACCTGCATAAAACGGAAACTTGTCCAAAGCGGAAACGGAAAGAAAAATCCGCTCCCTTCCGAGGGTTTTAACTGTCTAAGACGGTAAATGCTTTGCCCGCTCAGCCCAGATTTGAAACAAAACTCGCAAGTTTGGTTCCGCCGGCTCTAAACTTAACGCTATGGCCATGCCGCTCGGCAAGGAAATCTCACGACTGCCCGTGAGAGTGCTCGAGTAGCGAGCCACTACGGAAACTTTCCTGGGTAACCAGAAGCCAGAGGTGGGAAATTAGATTGACCAATGCCTGCCGCCCTGATCGATTGGCCAGCCGAGAAAAGAGTACCTCGAACCATTGTTACCAGTATGGCAGTAAGGGGTGGCGTTGGTGGGTGGCGCTAAGGGTGGAAGAAAAGAAGATGTTCAAAAGTATCTGTTTTTAATAGGTCAAACAGTGGTCCTATCATGAAAAGCAAGCACTGGTGTGGTAATTGGATAGTAAGACTGACGCATGTCATTATCAGACAGGATAGCAATTGAGAGGCGTGAAGTTTTGACCACTGCTTGCCGATCGGACAAGCGATCCTTGATTCCACAGACTGGGCCTTTGAACCCCCCATCCACCATCTCCCCCTAAATTCCCCTGTCCAAGATGGAATTTTTTTCCAGCTCCCTGGTGATTCCTCTTACACAGGTTCAACTGTATAAATATAATATACACTTTGAGAAGTGGCAGTCCTTTTGGACGGTGAGTGTTCTTAAAAAGAACACAAGGGGGAAGCGGTTGTTTGACAGACATGGTTGTCTTGGACATACGATTGTTAGAGCAGCTTAAACTGTAATAGTAGAAGAGGATTCGATACATTTTCTCACTTTCAGTCTGCACGCAGATGCCCTTGTGTGTCTATGGGGAGTAAAATATCTAAATTTACAAATGCAAATCACCATATATATATATGGCTTATAATATGAGCTTACATATATAAAGTGTGAAGTAGGAGGGAGTCAAAAAGTAGTTTTTGCATTTGTCACTCTCTTTTCATAAATATAACAATAATCTTCAGCACTTCTTGATTTTGTGGGCAAGTGCCGTTCTTACTCAAACTTAAAAAGGCAAGGCTACCCAACAATCTGGGCGGCTTTAGTGAAGGGTAAATGCTAATCCTGAATTCCAGATAGAGGCAAGCCCGTTAGGGCGGTTAGGGCAGGATTAAGATTCGAGGTAAATTTTTACCTTCACTCATGCACTTTATTTTTA